GGCTTAAATAGTGTGCGCAATCAGTCTCTGACAATCCTCAGGTGGTGCGAGTAATCAGTCCAGATGAGGAAGCATGTGTGAGTGTGACCGGAGTGCATGTATGAAAGTGTAGTCCAGAAATGGTATATTTGTAGTCCATGGTTATTGTTAGTGCAATCCAGTGATCTTATGAAAGACGATCGCTGGTATTCGTGACATAATTAGGGTGAGTTCATTTTTGGGTGAACTTTGCCTTTAAGTAGTCGCTTATTAGCTAAGTGCTTTGGCCAGCATATAGTTGTTGTTTTTTTTTTTTGGGGGGGGGGGGGGGGGGGGGGGGTATTACTAGATATACCGGATGGACTTTGCTAAATAACTACATATTAGATAGAAAATGACCCCCAATTGCACTGTTTACAAAAATGCCCTTAGGTAACACTTTAGGATGAGGGCTAATTCTCGCTTTTAAAGAGACATCAGTCACCCAACAATCATTGGAAGTTTTTTTTTTTTTTTTTTCTATTGATCACAAAAGAAGATATTTTGAAGAATGTCGGATCTCAAACTGAATCTTAAACTGGTTTGGAAATACTCAGTGGTGAGTATATGATGACAGACTTCATTTTTGGGTGAACTGTGCCTTTAAGCAGTCACTTATTAGCAAAATGCTTTGGCCAGCATATAGTTTCTTTCTTTTTTTGTTTTGTTTTTGAGATTGACTAGTTAAACAATGGGCTTTACTAAAAGCCTACATATTAGCTACAGAATGACACTCAATTGTGTTGCACTGTTTACAAAAAGGCCCTTAGGTAACACTTTAGGATGTGGGCCAATTCTCACTTGTAAAGTGACAGTTCACCCTAAAATCTTTTTTTTTTTTTAATCTATTAAACACAAAAGGAGATATTTAGAAAAATGTTGGATACTGGTTATTACTGACATACATAGTAGCCAAAACAATTACTCTGGAAGTCAATGGTTACAGATCAACAGGAAAGAGAAAAAGGAAATGTCAAACTGGTTTGGAATGAGTCAGGGTGAGTTCATTTTTGGGTGAACTATGCCTTTAAGTAGTCGCTTATTAGCTAAATGTTTTGGCTAGCATATAGTTTTCTCTGGGATTTACTAGTTGAACAGGATGGGCTTTACTAAATAACTACATAATGGCTAGAAGATAACACTCAATTTTGTTGCACTGTTTACAAAAAGACCCTTAGGATTAGGGCCAAATCTCGCTTTTAAAGAGACAGTCACCCAAAATCATTGTGAGTTTTTTAGTTTTTCTATTGAACACAAAATAAGCTATTTTGAAGAATGTTGGATCTCAAACTGGTTTAGAAATAGTCAGTGGTGAGTAAATGATGACCGACTTTTCATTTTTGGGTGAGCTATGCCTTTAATTACTCGCTTATTAGCTAAATGTTTTGGCCAGCATATATATATATTTTTTTTTTGGGGGGGGGTTTACAAATTGAACAGGATGGGCTTTACTTAATGTCTACTTATTAGCAAAGAAGATATTTTGAAAAATGTTGGATAATGGTATCTACTTACATCCATAGTATTTGTTTTTCTACTATGGAAGTCAATGGTTACAGATCAATGCTTAGAGAAAAATCTCAAACTGGTTTGGAAATAGTCAGTGGGGAGTATATGATGACAGACTTTTTCAGTGAACTGTGCCTTTAAGCAGTCACTTATTGCTTAAATTATAAACCTTGTAAAATGTTTTGGCTAGCATATAGTTTTCTTTGGGATTTACTAGTTGAACAGGATGTTGAACTCAGTTGTGTTACACTGTCTACAAAAAGACCCTTAGGTAACACTTGAGGATATGGACCAATTCTCACTTTTAAAGAGACAGTCACCCTAAAATCATTGTTTTTTTTATTTATAGAACTCAAGATATTTTGAAGAATGTTATATATTGGTAATTGCTGACACCCAAAATAGGAAAAACAAAAACATGAACTAGTTTACTAGTAGATGATGAGGGCCAATTCTCACTTTTAAAGAGACAGTTCACCCAAAAATACAAGTTTATTTACCCTTGACTTGTTACAAAATAGTTTTTTTTTTCTACTGAACACAAAAGAAGATATTTTAAAGAATGTTGTATACTGGTAATGACTGACATCCATAATAGGAAATACAAATACTATTAAAGTCAGTGGTTACACATCAACAGAAAGGAGGGGGTCTCAAACTGGTTTGGAATTAGCGGATCTTGCATCATCAATCACTAACCAGCCAAGAAAATGTAGTCAAATGCATATAGTCTGCTTTCCTTACCTTTGTCATCCTCGTTTTTTTTTTTTTTTTTTTTTGACAAACACCCCTTCCACCCTGACTCCTTCCGCTTCTTCCTAAATCCAATAGCAGGGCAGTTCTCGAGACCTACATCAGCTAAGACTGCCCTCTCTCCCTCTTGTCTAAGTGGCTACATTTTAGGTAGAAAATAACACTTAATTTTGTTGCACTGTTCACAAAAAGGCCATTAGGAGAAGTGCCAATTCTCACTTTTAAAGAGACAGTTCACCCAAAATCTTCACACAAAAGAAGATATTTCGAAGAATGTTCTAGCTTTGCTATGCCTTAAGTGATCACTTATTAGCTAAACTAACAACCTTGTAAAATTCTTTGGCTTGATTTGGGTTGAACTAAATAATATGACACTCAATTTTGTTGCACTGTTTACAAAAAGGCCCTTAGGTAACACTCAGGATAAGAACCAATTCTCACTTTTAAAGAGTTTTTTTTTTTTTTTTTATCTATTGAAATCAAAAGAAGATATTTTAAAGAATGTTGGATACTGGTAATCACTGACATTCATAGTAGGACAAACAAATACTTGAACTAGTTTACCAGTAGAGGATGAGGGTCAATTCTCACTTTAAAAAAAAAACTGTTCACCCAAAAATAAAAAATGTATTTATCTTTGACTCATTACAAAACAGTTTGAAGGTTTTTTTCTGCTGAATGCAAAATAAGATATTTTGAAGAATGTTGGATACTGGTAATGACTGACATCTATAGTAGGAAATACAAATACTATTAAAGTCAGTGATTACATATCAACAACAAAAAAAAAAAAAGGTGGGGGGATATCTCAAACTGGTTTGGAATAAGTCCGAGTGCATATGATGACAGAATTTTTTGGTGAACTGTGCCTTTAAGTGGTCACTTTTTAACTAAATTAAAAAGCTTGTGAAATTATTTGGCCAGCATGTACTTTTCTTTGGGATTGACTAGTAGAACAGGATAAGCTTTACTAAACAGCTACATATTAGCTAGAAAATGACACTAACTTGTGTTACACGGTTTACAAAATGACTCTTAGGTAACACTTTACTGTAGGATGGGGGCCAATTCTCACTTTTAAAAAGACAGTTTACCCCAAAAATCATTGTGAATTTTTTTTTTTGTGTTGACCACAAAAGTTGATATTTTGAAGAATGTTGGATACTGGTAATAAATGACGTCCATAGCAGCCAAAACAAATACTATTAAAGTCAATAGTTACATAATAAAAAGAAAAGGGGTGAGTATATGATGACCGCTTAATTTTTTGGTGAACTTTGCCTTTAATTCATTCATTTTCTTGTCGGCTTAGTCCCTTTATTAATCCGGGGTCACCACAGCAGAATGAACCACCAACTTATCCAGCAAGTTTTTACCTAGCGGATGCCCTTCCGGCCGCAACCTGTCTCTGGGAAACATCTACAGACACATTCACACTCACACACACACTCATACACTACGGACAATTTAGCCAACCCAATTCACCTGTACCGCATGTCTTTGGACTGTGGAGAAACTGGAGCACCCGGAGGAAACCCACGCAAAGGCAGAGAGAACATGCAAACTTCACACAGAAACGCCAACTGAGCCAAGGTTCGAACCAGCGACCTTCTTGCTGTGAGGCAACAGCACTACCTACTGCGCCACTGTCTCACCCCGTCGCTTATTAACTAAATTAAAAACCTCGTGAAATGCTTTTGCCAGCATATAGTTTTCTTGAGGATTGACAAGTTAAACAGAAAGCTTTTTCGCTTATTTGCTACATTTAATAACCTTGTGAAATACTTTGGACAGCATGTATGGCGGCCAGTTCTCACTTTTAAACAGACGGTCACCCAAAATTGATTTATTCACCCTTGACCTTTTACAAAACAGTTTGATGTTTTTTTTTATTTCTATTTTCTTCTGTTTACATATATAAGTATATGAACTGTAAATGTGTTCACTGACAGTCAAGTTGTTTTAAAGTTTCCAGATGAATATGCGTTAGTCAGCAGTTGTTATCTTGGAAAAAACATATATTGTAATGTCGCCACTGATCAACCATAATCAAGTATTCCAGAATGCAGTGTAATAATCTCAGATATCAACTGGTAATACTAATAACACAATCTCACAGCCTCACACATTATCAACATCTGGTTTATATAACTTTTGTGGCAAGTGGAATAATGTGGCCTAACAGCAGGAAGGTCGCTGGTTCGAGCCCCAGCTGAGTCAGTTGGCATTTCTGTGTGAAGTTTGCATGTTCTCCCCGTGCTCATGTGGGTTTTCTCTGGGTGCTCTAGTTTCCTCCAATCCAAAGACATGCGCTATAGGTCAGTTGGATGAACTAAATTGGCTGTAGTGTATGAGTGTGTGTGTGTGTGTGTGTGAATGTGAGAGTGGATGAGTATTTCCCAGTACTGGGTTGTGGCTGGAAGGCTGCGTAAAACATCTTGAATAGTTGCCGGTTCATTCCTCTGTGGCGACCTCTGAAATAAGGGACTATTTCAGAAAAATAAATTAATTTACATTTAGCCTGTTTAAAAAAAAAAAAAAAAAAATCCCTTTCAGTTTTATAAAGATCCTTATAAATCTCTGCTTTGCACTGATATTCCATTAAGCAATATTATAAAATGAAACTTTAAAGCATTGCAAATAAATATTTAGTCAGATTTCAGTAATATTTTAGAGCCTTGAACGTTGAAACAGCAAACAAAAATCAAATACAAACTCTCTTTTTGGTGTTAAAAACTATCAGGATTTATTAAAGGCACAGTGAAAATCAGCAATAAAAGTCATAGACATTATGGCTGACCTTATTGCTTGGGGCAGACGGAATTGTTTTTTTTTTTTGCTATTTCTGCATCTGCTAACAATCTGCGGATTTCTGCGAAATTATTTTGGGAGTCTCATAACTAAAACCTTAATATGTGAAATAAAAAATTATATGTTTTAAATTTTTTATTTAATGTTTACAATTCAAATCCAATTAGATTACCTTTATTTGGTAAACAAAGCAAGTCTCATATAATATCTCTACTAAAAGACAGAAAACATTACTGTGCAAACTGCATTGTAAATAAATCGGATGAACATTTTCATATTAGTCAATAATATTACTGTAATTAATGTAAAAACTGAATAAATATAGATTTACACACATTTACTCAAGTAAAAAAACTGAATTAATGATGGGCTAAAAAATCTGCGGAATTCTGCACACCATGTGGGCCTATTTACTGCATATGCATCTGTACGAGTTGCTTTTTCTGACACCTTATTTATGATAAGAACCAGCAATGTGATCTACAAGTGTTGCGTTCAATTTACAGGTTTTGTGTCATTATTTATTGCCCCCTAAAAACATGTCTTAATACATTTTGTGCTTGAATTGCTGTGATTGTCGCTGCATGCAATCTGTTTTGGATTACTAAAGCACACTATTTTCAATATGCGGCGCTGTTAGTGGGTTTAGTTAGACCAAAAAAATATGTTCACTGTTTGATCAAACTACTTATTTGAAATAAGCTAAAACAACACAATTCTTAGTTGTTTGGGGGACAACTTCATTATTTTACGTTCAATCCACTTAAATTTGTAAAAACTAATAAGTTAACCTAATTCCTTCATTTTATACCAACACAAATCAATTGTGTGGAATTCAGCATGTTTTACAGTGTAGTGTTCGTCTGCATTCTTTAATCTGCTCATAGTCAACCTTCAGCATGTTTTATAGTAAATCTGGCTTTTATAATACAAATAAATTACGAATAAGTCTTATTTCTGTGCAGACCCAGACAGTCTAAGGTTGAGGGAATGTTATTCTTTGGCATATCTGAATTACTTTAAAGGTGAGGTGTTACTGAATCTGGCTTTGTTTGCTACAGTTTGGTGAAGCGCTCATCATTGGAGAAGGCTTGATTGTAGACGCCGTCTTTCTTATTAAGGCCGGAAAGTGCAGTTCCATTCTCTTTGACTATTCCTTCATCATCTCCATCTTGATCAAATCCGGCATCTTTGGCTTTGGCTCTGTGGAGGGAAAAAATCGTAAACAGGTCAGTTCAGATTAAAGAGAAAGACTGAGAATTATACATCAACTGAAATCTGATTAAATATAATAAAATAAGCTTTAATATTATTAAACATAAGCTTTCTTTTGATATATATATATATATATATATATATATATATATATATATATATATATATATATATATATATATATATATATATATATATATATGTTTGGTTGAGGTGCAACTATTTAAAATGTAAAAAACTGGGGGTTTCTAAATATAATATAATCTAAATCCCTTTTAAAGGAGAACTAGTATGCAAAAATCACTTTTATAAGGGGTTTCAACAGTTTGAATCCCCACTATGCTGACACAAAGGCATTTTTAGCTCTGCCCTGTTTTGAAAAGAACACAATCTCATTTGAATTTAAAGCGACAGTCCCTAAAATGGCACGATTAGGATCAAAGCCTTAAAGCACAGGTGTCAAACTCAGTTCCAAAAGGGCCGCAGCTCTGCACAGTTTAGTTCCAACCCTAATTAAACACACCTGATCAAACTAATTGAGTCCTTCAGGCTTGTTTGAAACCTACAGGTAGGTGTGTTGGAGCAGGGTTGGAACTAAACTGTGCAGGGCTTCGGCCCTCCAAGAATTGAGTTTGACACCCCTGCCTTTAAGGGTCAGTTTTTAAGAGTTATAAAACATTGTGGAGTATTTTGAGCTGAAACTTCAGATACACACTCTAGGGACACAAAGACTTATTTTGTAGATTTATCTTGTAATAGCCCCCTCTTTAAAATTGTCTAAATCGGGGGTGGTCAAACATTTTCTTATGAAAGGCCAAAAATCAAGCCTGTGGGCCAAAGGTTAACACAGTTGCCATGGCTAATTTCCTAATTTATTTAATAATGTTTAAAAAAATGACTAGAAAACAATCCTTTATATTAACTAATACATTATATTTTTACATTTTAAAATGAACTTATCACAGTAAAACAAAGCAATCTAATTTCTAACAGAATTACACTAGTTTTTTTGCCTTGATTTGCTCTCCAATGTCTTCTGCATTGTTCTATATCCGTCAAGTGACAATATATTTTTATTTGTAAAAAATAAGACTCATTTACAACATTTAATTGTAACATTTAATTTCATTTAGTTTTTTTGTTGCTCTGCAATAAAATACAAAAAAGGTGACATCAAATTAGAAATGACGATCTCTGTGTTAAAGGCGATTGCCTTCAACCATCTCCATGATTCTCACTCTCCTCTCAGATGGGATGGTGGGCCAAATTAAAGATTACAAGGGGCCAACTTTGGCCCACGGGCCCTCTGCATCTCTGATCTAAATTATGTTCTTAGCAATGCATATTACTAATGCAATTTTTTAGATACTTACATTAGGACGTTTTTAAAAATTATGGAAAATGCTCTATATTTAATATTTAAATGGTGTTTGGCATAAAAGAATATGTTATAATTTAGTTATTTAATTATAGGAATAAATTATCTATCAAAGGGGTAAGGAAAAGCAACTTCAGTTTAAGTTAAAGTACTACGGAGACCTGAAAGGAACGTGATGGGGAGGGAAAAATGGATGGGAAAAAAGAAAACTGAGTGATAGGAAAATATATCTTTTTAAGTTTTTGCGTTCTCTCGCAAAGATGTTCCACAAACACTTCCTGTTCACTTCATATATTCAACCTCCCATTTATGCTGGAATTCTTCCGTATTTTACCATTATATCCCGCTATCATCCTATCATTAAATATTTTCCAATATTTCTCACATGTGTTTAATCTTGAATTGAATATAAAAATGTCTGCGTTCACTTTCTTTCCATTAAAGCTGTGCGTTGGTCGTCGCCCTTCAAATGCAACCTCTAAATCAGCGAATGCATGTATAAGCGCTGACTGACGGACGTGCTACGTATGATAAACAGATCCAAGATCAGCTTCTGTACATGCTATTTAAGTAGGAGCTAAAGTGCAGGACACTTTGGGATTGGGATGTGTGTTTAAGCAGACAAATACTCTTTATACTATGTAAACATGTCCGTCCTGCGTGTTTTATTTTATACACAACTCATTTTCTCTTAAATGAGCACAAACAGTTTATAGAGTAATCAAATACTTTCATTATAGATCCGTGCATTCTTACAGGGACACCTCAGTTATCAAACAAAACAAAACGAGAGATTCATTTGCTGTTCTTCACTTGTTTGATAACAGAGGTGTCACTTAACATGGCGTGTACAGAAGCTGATCTGGGTTCAGTTTATTATACGGAGCTTGTCCATCAGTCATCGCTTATAAATGCTCTTTTTGTTTGTTTTCAGTTAAATTGTCAGATTAGGTCGGAGTGAGGTATTGGGTGTGGCTAACATACTTAACCACACCCCTCCAGCTGTCAGTTTTAAGGAGGAGGAGTCTGTTAGGTTGTAATAACTCTCCCCAAACCCTTTTCCAGATCTATCTGATTAAAATGTCTGCTTGACTACATCCAATCAGCTCGCAGTGGAAAAAACAAGCCACCCCACGTTTTTTCATTTCATATTCATTTTTTTCAAGGAACTGCGTCACAATAATAAAAAAAAAATGGTCACAGCTTTTGGTTTATGTGAACTTTAAAATCATTTTAGCCATTTTGCTTATCTAATAAATACATCTTGATTTAAGAATGTTTACATCTTCGTACTGAAAAAAACAGGACACAAATACTAAGGAGAAGCGTCATATTTTGCAGTGATGTTTCTTCCGTGATGTGGCTTTATCATCAAGCAGATTATAAACTGAATGGAGAATCTGAATGATTGATTTACTGACCGTCGTCTTTTGCTGACTGTGGACATCAGCAGTGCCACAATGCCTACGGCCACAATGCCAATGACCACCCCGAACACAATGAGCCACGGAGGAGTGTTGTACTGAATGGGGACCGCCAGCGTTGGTGGGACCCCCACAAACTCAAGAGTCATGTCTGATAGCAGGAAAGCATTGTTGATGCGATGTTTGCTCTGCCTGGAATAATTAATAAAGAAGATTTTTCAGCACATTTCTAAACATAATAGTTTTAATAACTCATTTCTAATAACTGATTTATTTTATCTTTGCCATAATGACAGTAAATAATATTTGACTAGATATTTTTTTAAGATACTAGTATTCGGCTTTAAGTGACATTTTTAAGGCTTAATTAGGGTAATAAGGCAAGTTATTGTATAACAGTGGTTTGTTCTGTGGACAATCGAAAAAAACATTGCTTAAGGGGGCTAATAATATTAACCTTAAATGGATTTTGTTATATTAAAAGCTTTTATTTTAGTCGAAATAAAACAAATAAGACTTTCTCCAGAAGAAAAAAACATTATACTGAACTGAACTGAACTTAAACACTAAAAACTGAACTACACTGTTCCAGTTACTATGACCATTTATGTGAAGCTGCTTTGACACAATCTACATTGTAAAAGCGCTATACAAATAAAGCTGAATTGAATTAAATTGAATTGAATTGAATCCCACTGAGGTGACCCCTGATTAATATGGGACTAAGCCGAAGGAAATGTAAAACATTGCCACCTGCTCTTATGTTAAAATTGAAGTTGATATATTTTCATTATAAACAGCTGACTAGGCTCAAATCTTAAATGTAAGCGTCTTATGCAAATTCCATATACCATAGATTGAATGATTATATATTATATGATTATATTAAGACTATACCAAAGGCATAATCAGCACAAAACATATTAAAATATTCATTGTCAATGGCAGACATATTGAATATGGTGTTAATAAATATGATAACACTGTATAATTAATGAAAGCTGTTATAAGACAATGGTGTTATGTGGTTCTTTAAATCTTGGATCTAAACTCAGAATATAGAATGCAATAAACACTATAAACAGTATAAAATCAGGCTTTTATGAGGTGTAGGCTGCGCTTTATGAGATGCTTCCTTAGAGACCTTGTTATAGGAAACATCTTTAAAAACATGCCTCATAAAAGAGTAAACAGTACACTCCAACACTTTCAGTTCACTAAAGACGAATATGTATAATGAAAATAATGTACATTAGTAAACATGAGCTGAATGCTGCTTTGGCGGACGGGATTTAGATTGCAGTTACATTTGAAGTCAGAATTATTAAACCCCCCTGTTTATTTACCTGTTAATTTCTGTTTAAAGGAGAGAAGATTTTTTCCAACACATTTCTAAACATAACAGTTTTAATAACTCATTTCTAATAACTGATTTATTTTATCTTTGCTATGATGACAGTAAATAATATTTGACTAGATATTTTTCAAGACATTTCTATACAACTTAAAAGGACATTTAAAGGCTTAACTAGGTTAATTAGGTTAACTAGGCAAGTTAGGGTAATTAGGCAAGTTATTGTATAACGATGGTTTGTCTGTAGACTATTGAAAAAAAAATGTAGCTTGAAGGGGCTAATAATTTTGACCTTAAAATGTTATTAAAAAAACTAATAACTCCTTTTATTCTAGCCAAAATAAAACAAATAAGACTTTCTCCAGAAGAAAAAATATTATCAGACATACTGACGCAGTAGGTAGTGCTGTCGCCTCACAGCAAGAAGGTCGCTGGGTTGCTGGTTCGAACCTCGGCTCAGTTGGCGTTTCTGTGAGGAGTTTGCATGTTCTCTCAGCATTCGCATGGGTTTCCTCTGGGTGCTCCGGTTTCCCCCACAGTCCAAAGACATGCGGTACAGGTGAATTGGGTAGGCTAAATTGTCCGTGGTGTATGAGTGTGTGGGTGTGTGTGGATGTTCCCCAGAGATGGGTTGCGGCTGGAAGGGCATCCGCTGGAACGTGCTGGATAAGTTAGTGGTTCATTCTGCTGTGGCGACCCCGTATTAATAAAGGGACTAAGCCGATAAGAAAATGAATGAATGAATACTGTGAAAATTTCCTTGCTCTGTTAAACATCATTTGGAAAATATTTTTAAAAAAAATTTAATTTAAAGGGGGGCTAATAATTCTGACTTCAACTGTATATGAAAGTCTATTATAGCGAAATATATTAAATGCAATTGCTTAGGAATTTAAATGTAATTTGATGAATGCAAAGTGTACTGCTGATAGCATTCGTGGTAGATTAGAACATACTTCAATGCAATTTCTATTGAAACTTATGCATTTAAAAATCAATAGACATTTGTAATTTAGTTGCACTTTGGTACATTTAAAATGTAAGAAATGTAAATGTAATATAAGTAGTTTACATGTATATTAGTCAACATCAGAATGCATATATTTTAAAGCATGTTATAAGACTCTTAAAATAGTGAATTAAATGTATTTAAAGTAATACATTATTGTAACATGTATTTCTTTTTACAGTAAGTGTACTTGATGTTGTTACAAATTCATTCATTTTCCTTCGGCTTAGTCCCTTTATTCATCAGGGATCACCACAGCGGAATGAACCGCCCACTTATCCAGCATATGTTTTACACAGCGGATGCCCTTCCAGCTGCAAGCCCCACTGGGAAACACCCAAACACCCAATTCACACACATACACTACGGACAATTTAATTTATCCAATTCACCCATAGCGCATGTCTTTGGACTTGTGGGGGAAACCAGAGCACCCAGAGGAAACCCACACCAACAATGGGAGAACGTGCCAACTCCACACAGAAATGACAGCTGTCCCAGCTGGGAACCAGCAACCTACTTGCTGTGAGGTGACAGTGCTAACCACAGCGCCAACGTGATCCCCACTCTTAAGAAATAATGAATTAAATGTATTTTAAGTAATACATTACTATAACTTGTATTTTTTTACAGTAAGTGTGCTTACGATAGTTAAAAATTGTGTACTTAAAACAACATCAACCATTAACTGACACAATGGCTATATATACCAACATACCGGCCACTGTTAGGTTCACATTAACGCAAATTTCTGATCGGCCAGTCACATTGCCGCAACTCAATGCATTTATGCATGTGGACACAATCAAGACGATCTGCTGCAGTTCAGACTGAGCATCAGAATGGGGAAGAAAGCTGATTTAAATGACTTTAAATGTGATATGGTTATTGGTGCCAGACGGGCTGGTCTGAGTATTTCAGAAACTGCTGATCTACTGGGATTTTCTCGCACAACCATCTCTAGGGTTTACAGAGAATGGTCTGAATGAGAGAAAATATCCGGTGAGCGGCAGTTCTGTGGGCACAAATGTCTTGTTGATGCCAGAGGAGAATGGCCAGATTTGTTTCAGCTAATAGAGAGGCAACAGTAACTCAAATTACATCTAATATATATATACGAATCATTTTGACTTTAACTGTATATAGTGATCGACATTCAGCAAGGCAACCCAATGTTATTGTAACATTACAGTCAGTGAAACGTCTAGTAATATATCAGCTAAAGTCTAAACCTGTAAACTCACAGATGGTCAACTCACCTCACTGCTCGCTCCACCTCTTCTTTCGGAATCAGTTGAGTTGGGTCCGCTGGCAACGTCACCACAAAGATGAATGACACTCTCTTTGTATCATTGCACACCAGTATGTTTTCAATGCTGGAAAAAAAAAGAAAAAAATACAGATGTAATTGTTGTTTTTAGATAGATAGATAGATAGATAGATAGATAGATAGATAGATAGATAGATAGATAGATAGATAGATAGATAGATAGATAGATAGATAGATAGATAGATAGATAGATAGATAGATAGAACAAGCTGTTGACATGTTTAGCACAATCCTAGCATGCTAGGACTAAGGCTAGCATAGTCCATTGTTATTTTGTAGTTATAAGCTCATGTTTTAGCACATGCCTAGCATGCTAGTGCTAATAGCTAGCATATTGTTATTTGCTGCCCTGCTGAAAAATCCAGCTTAAACCAGCCTAGGCTGGTTTAAGATGGATTTTTCAGCAGGGTGGTTATAAGTTCCTGTTTTTGTATCGGATGTCTTAACAAGTAGTAAACTTGTTTTTAGTACATTCCTACAGTAGCATGCTAACGCTAATGGCTAGCATATTCCATTGTTTTTTGGTAGTTATAAAGTTTATGTTTAAACACATTCCTAACATCCTAGAGCCAATGGGTAGCTAATTACGTTGTTTATTTCTAGCTATACGTTTGTGTTTTTAATTGTGTTGTTTTAACAAGAGATAAACATGTTTTAGCACGTTTCTATCACAGTTCTTTTGAAGTACCACTGCATATTTTTGATCTATGATTTAGGTTATTGCCTTTATGTAAAGTATGTTTGTAAATTATTACAATATTTACAGTATTATTTTAATATGATTTTATTATTATTGTTTTAGAAAACGTGAAAAACTTTATTTCCCTCAACTTACATTAACAAAGACGAATAAATGCTACAATACATGTATTGTTTATTGTTTTATATATTAGTAAATGCATTAACTAGTAAAAACTAATACAACCTTATTGTAAATTACCAAAAATTCCCTAACAACCCCAAACTTAAACATTCCTCTAAAGTCTAAACTCTCACTATTTTATGCACCTTTAATTCCACGAATAAATGTGTTTTGTTCAGGATATTTAGAAATGAGTAAAGTGCTTTTCTGCCGTGTACATCACACTGCAGCCAACAGGAATTATGCACACACAGACATGCACAACCTCACGATCTCATCGATGTAACATGATGCTGCAAACGCCTCTTATTCAGAGATCAATCGATGCTGGGTTTCTCTCTCAAACAAGCCCGAAGCCGCTCTGCAACACTTCAGCTGTGAGATTTCACAATCGTTCGGGACCGGCATCAGACTGAGAAAGGTTAACCGCAATTGATTTCCCTTGACCCATTAGCGTCTATATTGGCCCGTAATTACACCGGTTAAATTAATCAGTCGTGCTTTCCCTACATCCGAGAGCAGCTCAATTGCACGAATATAATTGAGGGGGAAAAAAATATTAATCCACTGAAGAAAAGGCCTAAAATGACATTATACGTTTTTATTTTCACCGGTGAATAATCGCTGTTATTATCAAATGTCTAAAATTACTGTTAGATCATAGGGGCTTTGGTAATAATCCCTCATTAAATTAAATTATATCTAATTATTGAACATCATGTCATATTTTTGCGTGGAGAAAAAGGTATTTAGATGTTAACATCTACCTGATGTGACATTTTGTGTGAGATGGAAGTAGATTCTAACTGATAATTAGTTACATTTTTTCTTTAAGGATCTGTCAGACGCGTAATGTGTGATATAAATAACTATTAAATGTGGCACATTGTGAATGTGACGCTTGGTTTCACTAAAGCAAGGTTGCCCAAATTATTAGTTATGAATGGCCAAAAATCAAACTTGACTAAAGGTGGAGGGCTGAAGGCAAACATACCAACATATTACATTAAAGTTGCCATGGTAATTACCAAATTTATTTATAATTAAAATCGGATTAATCGTAAAATCGTTTTAATCGTATTTATTTATTTTACTTATTACGTATTAATATATTTTATTTATTTATATATATATGTGTGTGTGTGTGTGTGTGTGTGTGTGTGTGTGTGTGTATATATATATATATATATATATATATATATATAATACATTTTATACTGAACTTCTTACAAATAATCCCATTTATAACACAATTGTGTTCAATGCTGAATACACAAGTCAAGATGCACCTGCCTTCAACCCAGGCTCATTCTGAGAACATAGCCACATATAAATTTCTAGAGAGCGGCAAATTCTCTTCTCAGATGGGATGGCGGGCCAAATCAAAGTTTACCATGGACCCTAGTTTGAGCATCTCTGCACTAAACTATAACTAAATAATGGCTTTGCAAAAATTGACACATTTTTGAAGTGGTGTTTTTTTTTTAATGGGAATTTTTTACTTATTTCACATCTGCTAAAATGAAAATCGCATGTTCAGGCACTTAAAGAAGCAATAGCACGCTTCATTGAGGTTTTATATATGGCAAATGGACTGGAATGAGATGCGCTGAAACAAATCTAGTGTAGGATTTACTTCAAACAAATTTGACTCAGAAACGACTGGTATATCTCACAGAGAAATGAGAGTAATATTAAATTAAACATGACATTTTGAAGTACAAACTTTTTTCTTTTTACAGCACGCATCCCGAAGTTTGCTACTTAGGCGTATGAAGTTGTAAAAACTCCTTACTTTGAGAGAGAACTAGGAAAAAAAAAACATGAGAAGAAAGGCAAGAAGATAAGGAAGACTGTGGAAATGTTGCTGTGGCCTGGGAGCTGATATAGATTTGTGTGTCAGCAGCGTAGCAATGGAATCTGAAAGCGTGCCGTCAAATTATTAGCCCAAGGGGAGGCATATAAATTGGAAAGAGGAGAGGGCCGTGATTGGAGCCTTGGGGGACACACCGTGTTAGACTGGAACACTACATGATCTATGTTCCTCAATAGATACAAATTACTGCCTTGCGCTAAGAAATGATTTTAGCCAGAGGAAACTCTAGCAGTGATGCCATTGGCTGATAAGCGGCGACTGGGATATTATGGGAGACATTTGCAAAAGATCTTCCAAAAAATGTAATGCAATGCCATGTCGTTCAGTTCAAATAATGAAAGTATTTAAAGGGATAGTTGGTTCACCCAAAAATGAAAATGTACTCACACTCAAGTGGTTCCAAACTTTTAGGAGTTTCTTTATTCTATTGAACACAAAAGAAGATATTTTGAAGAATGCTGAAAAACCAACCCAGGCTCATTCTGAAAATGTACAGCTGTATACATTTCTGGAGAGCGCCAAATATGTCCGAGGAGCTACGTTTTTTTGCAGTTTTTGTTTCCGCTAATCTGCCAGAGGCCGTTGTGTATGCTTTTTGAGATCTCAAATTTCTTTCGCGAGTGACAATCATGCCTGCTGTTCCACGTAAATCCACCAGAGGCTGCCGCTGTCGACTGACTGACCAACCGAACAATAACCCCACGCACCTCTTTCCCTTAACCCAACCAGTAGTGTTTTCGAATGCACCGATTGACCTGCGCCCACCCACTTCCCTAAACCCAACCGTTAGTGTTTTGAATTGCAATCCAGAAAAGAATAGCCCTCGTACAGCCTGTTTTACTTTTTTTTTCAATTCACCTTTGTCTGTGTAGCGCTTTTACAATGTTGATTGTGTCAAAGCAGCTTCACATAGAAGATCATAGTAAATTAAAACAGTGTAGTTCAGTTTTCAGTGTTTAAGGTTAGTTTAGCTCAGTTCAGTTCAGTGTGGTTTAATAATCACCTCTGAGAGCCCAAACACTGAAGACTTCACCAATTGACGTAAGTGAAGAATTAAAAAACCTAGAGAGAAACCAGGCTCACTTGGGCATGACCATTTCTCCACTGGCCAAACGTTCTGTGCAGAGCTGCAGTCTAGGCACTGGAGGCTGGAACACTTTTACCACGTTTTCAAATTTTAGCACATTCTCACCTTGTTATTTAATTGTTTTATTATTGGTTTTGTCTTTGTTCAACGTTTTCAGAATGAGCTTGTGTTGTGAAATACTGTGACCGTTGATTTTCATACAACCCAGGCTCATTCTGAAAACATACCACTATACACATTTCTGGAGAGCACCAAATAGATGCCAGGGGCTATGTTTTTTTGCCGTTTTTGTTTTTTGTGAATCCACCAGAGGCCGTTGTGTACGCTTTATTTCGCAAATGCCATTTGCGTCTGCTCTTCTCACGTTAATCCACCAGAGACTGCTGTCGACTGACTGACTGACCCACCCTCCTCCTTCCCTAAACCCAACCAAGAGTGTTTTTAAAAGCAACGATTGACCCGCTTTTCATACGGAGGTAAGCGGTCAGCTGGTAAGAGCAAAAAGGAACGGCGTCATACCGCCCCGTAGCATTCGTTTTAAAGATGAAATGCAGCCATACAGTACGTTCCTCTGGCTACATAATTCACAATCTCTAGAAATGTATTTAAGGCTACGTTTTCAGAATGGGTCTGTGTTGTGAAAAACTGTAACCATTGATTTTCATACAACCTAGCTTATTCTGAAAACGTACTGCTATTTACATTTCTGGAGAACGCCAAATATGTCCCAGGAGCTACGTTTTTTAGCAGTTTTTGTTTTTGCGAATCCACCAGAGGCCGCTGTGTACGCTTTTTGAGATCCCAAATTTCTCTAGCGTGAGCCATTCGTGCATGCTCTTCTCTCGTAAATCCACCTGAAGCCGTTGTCATCTGATTGACTGATTGACTGACCCGACCAATCGACTGATCCACCCTCCTTCCCTAAACTCAACCAATAGTGTTTTCAAAAGCACCTATTGACTAGCTTCCACCCACTTTCCTAAACCCAACCAACAGTTTTAAAAAAGCAATCCAGAAAAAGAAAAGTCATTGCCTAATTTTTACCACGTTTTTAGATTTTAGCACATTCTCACCCTGTTATTTACTTGTTTGTTTCATTGTTGTCTTTTTTGTCTTTCCTGCTTACTGGAACTGTTTTTCGTCGGACTCTAACCCTGTTGTCGCCGTCAACTCCGCTCTGCATCTCAAGTCTGCTGAAATACTTGGTGAGCCACTGGATAAACTGGTAACAGTGGAAAAGTCATCCACACATAGGTAAGTGGTCAGCTGGTAAGTGCGAAAAGGACCGATGTCATACCGCCTAGTAGCACTGATCTTAAAGACAAAATGCAGCAATACGTTTCTCTGGCTACATAATTCGCGATCTCCAGAAATGTGTTTAGGGCTACGTTTTTTGACTGAACCTATGTTGTAAAAAAACTAACCATTGGTTTTCCTACAACCCAGGCTCATTCTGAAATCGTACCGCTATATACATTTTTGGAGAGCGCCAAATATGTCCCAGGAGCTGCGTTTTTTGCAGTTTTTGTTTTCGAGAATCTACCAGAGTCCACTGTGTACGCTTTTTGAGATCCCAAATTTCTCTAGCGTGAGCCATTTGTGCATGCTCCTCTCACGTAAATCCACGGCCACTGTCGACTGACTGAATGACTTACTGACCGATCAACTGACCCCCCCTCCTTCTTCCATAAACCCAACCGATAGTGTTTTTTAAAGGAATCCTGAAAAAGAAAAGCCCTCACTTGATTTTTACCATGTTTTCATATTTTACCACGATATCACCCTGTTATTTACTTGTTTTATTTATTTTTTGTTTCTATTTTTGTCTTACCTGCAGTCTGGAACCATTCTTCGCTGTCAACTCTTCTCTGCATCTCAAGTCCGCCCACATATCAGGTGAGCTAACTGGACAAACTGGTAACAGCGAGAAAGCAGTCCATACGGAGGTAAGCGGTCAGCTGGTAAGCGCCAAAAGGAACTGCATCATACCGCTATGTAACATTCGCTTTAAAGACATAATGCAACCATGCGTACGTCTGGCTACATAATTCATGATCTCTAGAAATGTATATCAGGGCTACGTTTTCAGAATGAGCCGGTGTTTTTGTCATAATAGTAAAAACAAATTGTTTCAGTTTCTGCGGCTCCACAGCTATGCGTACCAATTTTAATTGTAAACCCAAGGTTAGGTCAGTGTTCTCATTTGAATATTTATAAGATATTTTAATTTGATTGGACAAGCACGCATGTCTAAGCAGGCCAGTTTTAATAAGTGTTTTTTTTGCATTTAGAAATATGGCCAAATAATTTACTTCGGCTCTGTGAAGTTTTCTAAAACACACCACCTGTTTCCCTCGGGTCGTAAAACGTAAGAAACAAAGCACCCGAATGTATCTGCAGCTCTACAGAGCACATGAATATTTAATAAAGCAAGCACTGAGGATGCTTATGATTGGCCGTCTGTTGTTAAACAAGCCGTGTTGCATTTTAACAGCTCAGTGTTTCACACTGTTGCAAACATAGACTGCTTTAGTCTCACGGGGACATTCAGCAGCCGTCAGCTCTTACTCAAAATCATTCTGCTCACGTTTTCAATCACGCTGGAAGTGCTCCCTGTTTTTGCCATTGATTATGTTCTGTTACAGTGAGACACTACTGGTGAAAACTACACCTGTCCATTTCCAGAGTTTGGGACCTTCGTGAAGTGTTTTACAGTCTAATGGAATGAAAACTTCCAAAATACTCTGTCTTTTCCTGTTTTTTTGACACACTTTACTATTTTTTTAGTTTGTATACTGCTGTATTATATATATATATATATATATATATACTACCTGACAAAAGTCTTGTCGTCGCTCCCAGTTGTAAGAGGAACATATAATAACTTGATCATTTGAAAACATGGCAGAAGGAACATTTTTCCCATGAATCATCTGCATCAACTGCATCCCAATCATCACAAATACTGCAAAAGATCTACTGAAACCCGCCTGAAGCCAAGATTCTCAAAGAAATAAGTCAAGTTTGGTGAATGAAAATCATGGTTTGGGGTGGGAGAGATCTGCAGTGGATGGCAACATCAACAGCCTGAGGTATCAAGGCCAGCCCCGTCACCAGACATGAACATTATTGAGCATGTCTGGGGTAAGATGAAGGAGACATTGAAGATGAATCCAAAGTATCTTGATGAACTCTGGGAGTCCTGCAAGAACACTTTCTTTGCCATTCCAGATGACTTTATTAATAAGTGATTTGAGTCATTGCAGAGATGTATGGATGCAGTCCTCCAAGCTCATGATGGAGTCAGACACAATATTCATTCTGTTTCCACTGCAGCATGACTTTATATTCTATACTGGACATTATTTCTGTTAAGAGAAAAGTAATTTGTCTAAGCAGAATCAGACCTTACTGTCCTAATTAAATCATTAAAAGTCAAAGGCATGATCATATTTTATTGTGGTAAAATAAGCGTAATCTAGAGGCCTTTGCCTTTCATATAAGCCACTTCTGATACCAAATGATCAACTAGAAATCCAGTTATTATTTGTTGTTACTAAAACTAGGATTGGCGACAAGACTTTTGTCAGGTATAGTGTGTGTATATTTATATATATATATATATATATATATATATATATATATATATATATATATATATATATATAATGTTTGTGTGTGTAGAGGTGGGAATCTTTAGCCAGTAGCTCTAGCATGCTAGTAATGCGCTAAAAATACATTAATCACATGTCAAGACATCAGAAATAAAAAAATGAATGTATAACTAACAATTAACAATGTAATATGCTAGCCATTAGCTCTAGCAGGCTAAGAATGCAATGTGTCCTGATTACAATGCCAACCTCTGAGCCACCATGCTGCCCCCAAGTTGTACTGTATAATGTAATTATTTAATTTTAGTAAAAAAACATCCATCATGAGAATAAAAAAATTCAATTTGAGCTTTAAAGTTTGTAGTTTTAACGTCCTCCAATAAATGCTTCTTGATTTAAAGGGATAGTTCACCCAAAAAATGAAAAGTTGCTCATTATTTACTCGCCCTCAAGTCTAAACTTTGAGTTTCTCTCTTCTGTTGAACACAAAGGAAGATTTTCTGAAGGATTGAGATCCACAGTAAGACAAACATTCTTCAGTATAATACCATCCAAAACACACAAAAGGAGCTTCATAAGTGAATAATTGATCATTGCTCTTTGGTGACGAGATTCTTTAAGATACGTACATCTTTTCAAGTCCTTTGCACTTATTATTTATTCGCAACTCATCAGTATATCTTCCTTTGTGTTCAACAGAAGAAAGAAACCCAAACACAGGCCCGTAGCGCGCCTGGTGAAAGGGGTGTTTTTTTTTCTCAAAATGTAAACTATTTTGCAGTTAATCTCTTCATTTTTTTTATTTAATTATGATGTTTAAACACTCCAATAAGTGGCATTTTAAACACAAATTTTAGCTGGATTAGCTTGTTGCGTCCTTCATTTTTGATGTACCTATGAATGCAAAATTTCCAAAAAATTTATAATAAACAAATATAAAAAAAAGAGCTTCACGATTTTCTTCTAGCCTCTCTTGAAAATTCATCTAACAACAACAACCTAATTAGTTTAAACAGCAAAAGTCAGTCTAAGGCAGCGGTTCTCAAACTTTTTTTATCAAGTATCACCTCAGAAAAAAATAGTCTTTCCAAGTGCCACCATAATGAGCAGCATTGAAATACAGTAGCGTAGTAAGCCCAGTAAAGCAGCTACAGCTCTGCACAGTTCTAAAAAGTGCCAGATTAATTTCTATTATTGAGAATATTTATTATTGTCAGCCATTTAAAACATTATAAATAGTCTGAACATTAACACTGTACTGTGCTTATATGTAAAAAAAAAACAAGCAAACAAAAACTAAAAATGGCAACATTTTTTTTAAAAACACATAAAAATATAATGCCATATTCATATATAAATCATTTAATACATTTTGAAATATATGTACCATGTACATGACACATTTGATATCTTTGCGTACCACAGTTTAAGAACCACTGGTCTAAGGCATTTGAAAGATGTGGAAAAAATATTAAAAAGCTTTTACTGACATATTTCTTAAAACTGCGCCTACACGTTTTGATAACACTTGACTTCAGCAGGGGAACCTGATGTAGCCGCAGTTTTAAGGAACAGTGATTTAGGCTTTATATTATTTTTTCCACATTTTCTGATTTTGATGTTTGTTCTGATAAATCCCTTAAACAAAGAGCACCGATACATTATTTATGCTACCCCTTCATTTTTATACACAGCCTAATAAGTATTAAAATGAACTTGAATAGGCTGCTTTTGGTGCTTCGGACCTTTTCATTGGTCGTTTTTTTTTCTCTCAAGAATAACGCACCATTCACACGGGGCGTCAGCGTCAACGCTTCCCATTCATTTTGAATGGGTGACGTCAGGCGTTGCCAAACTGCATTGTGGATCCGTCTGCGCTGCTTCAGAGGCGTTGCTCAATGCAGAAGTTGGGACTAGCTCAACTTTTCAAGCGCTGATGGAAGCATCAGCCTATCAGATCGCTGTATGCAAATACACCAGCTAGACAGTGGCCTATTGCTGACTGAATTTCATTGGCTGATGCTTCTATGACGATCGCTTCAGCCCCAACTTCAGACACGCATTCAGTCAAGTGTTGACACTGAGGCCCCGTGTAATTGGGGCGTAAGGTTCAAGATTTAAAATAAAAGTTAGGCTACTTGTAAAATGTTTTAGATTTTTTTAACAACAGTCATATTGTGCGTTTGCTTAAAACCTTTTTTCCACAGGGTTTTTCCACAATTTAGGAAGACATTGCAGTTCTTTTCTTTCCCAACCCCCCACCCCCCATCCCCTGAAACAGGATTGAAAGTGAGTGGAGGATGACTAAATGATCACAGAGTTTTCCTTTCTTGATGAACTGTCCCTTTAAGTGTGTCACCTGTTGGAGCGCTGGATTTACTCACTTATACGTGTCCTCCCCAGTTTTTTTCCTCATCGCATACGCCAGAGTAGATCTGAAGAGAAACTTCTCACTCTCATTCCACTCGTACTGAGAGAAAGAGGGAGAAGTAATGCTGAATTATTTAACATATTGCACGGGAGATCAATAAGCCGGAATAAAATGATGAACATAGACATAAAGCCAAATTAAAAGAGAAGAAACAAAACGCCAAACCTACGGCGTCATTTCCGAGGGCTGTTTTTAAGCTGATCCTGACTTTGAATCCATCTTTGCTTTCTGGGAGATAGAAAGAAAGAGAGATGATTTATTCACAGTGATGTGGGTTTGTTGTTGTAGATCAGTGTTTCTCCCTGTTCTTTGAGGGCCGATAAGACTGGCTGTGTCCTTATTTGCCGTCCTCGTAAAAGAGTCTTGTTTGGGAATTCACACGTCACTTTATTTCCAGAGACTGAACTGAATGAGATAAGGATGAGCTCAGATGCCCAACAACAATCTCCGTCTGTTTTTTTCTTTTCTTTTTTTTTTTTGGTTGCACAACAAAGTGGTTTAATGGAGTTTGGGGTGTTTAGATGCTCCGGCGATGATTATGTCCTTATTTAAACTCTGTTTTGCTTCACTGAAATTTCACACTTCCTCTGAACATTAGTTTTCCTTTAAATGTGTGTTCCTGAATTGAGTGAATTGAGTTCGTCTTTTCCCTGGTTGGTGAATCTCTCAAGCATGTGGTAGGAAAAAGAAAACATTTAACATTTTGTATAAAGACATTGAAGCCTATTTGGACACAATAAAAATGATTATATATGCTGTTTATGTATGTATATACACTCACCGGCCACTTTATTAGGTACACTGCCAGGGGCATAGCAACTGGGGGGGACGGGGGGATTCGTCCCCCGTACTTTTAGAGACAGGCCATTTAGAAACAGGTGATTAAGAATGTAAACCTTTGGTCTTCATACAGCTGTCCCCCCACTTTTAAATTGTCTACTACGCCCCTGTATACTGCTTGCTACCGCACATTTTTAATCAGCTGATGACATGGCAGCAACTCAATGCATTTAGACATGTTCAAGACGATCTGCTGCAGTTCAGACTGAGCATCAGAATGGGGAAGAAAGCTGGTTTAATTGACTTTGAACGTGATATGGTTATTGGTGCCAGACGGGCTGGTCTGAGTATTTCAGAAACTGCTGATCTACTGGAATTTTCACGCACAACCATCTCTAGGGTTTACAGAGAATGGTCCGAAAAAGAGAAAATATCCAGTGAGCGGCAGTTCTGTGGGTGCAGACGCCATGTTGATGCCAGAGGTCAGAGGAGAATGGCCAGACTGGTGCCAGCTGATAGAAAGGCAACAGTAAATCAAATAACCATGGGTATGCAGAGATGGTCTACAGCAGCAGAAAACCACTCCTGTCGGGTGTCACTCCTGTCAGCTAAGAACAGGAAACTGAGGCTACAGTTCAATCAGACTCACTAAAATTGTCAATGAAAGATTAAAGAAACTTTGCCTGGTCTGATGAGTTGATTTCTGCTGTGACATTCGTATGGTAGTGTCAGAATTTGGCATCAGCAACATGAAAGCATGGACCCATCCTGCCTAGTGTCAATGGTTCAGGCTGGTGGTGGTGGTGGTGTAATGGTGTGGGGGATATTTTGTTGGCACACTTTGGGCACCCACAGCCTACCCAAGTATTGTTGCTGACCATGTACATCCCTTTATGACCACTCTCCTGATGGCTACTTCCAGCAGGATAGGACTCAATGGCCTCCACAGTCCCCAGCCTCAATCCAATAGAGCATCTTTGGGATGTGGTGGAATGGGAGATTCACGTCATGGATGTGAACTGTGTGATGCTATCATGTCAAGGATAAAGGCAGTTCAGAAGGCAAAAGGGGGTCCAACCCGGCACTAGTAATCTGTACCTAATAAAGTGGCTATATAAACTATATATAGTTTTTTCCTTTTTTTATTTATATATTTTTTTCATTTTTATAAACAAAACAGTTGTAGTTTTATTACATTATTTGAAATACATTACGTTTTTGAAGGCACTACAACAATTGCTACAATTATTTAAATACTTGAACTTTAAATGAAACGTTATTTTTAAAAAGGCGATACTTATTATTAAAATGCCAAAACTCAACCGAATTATAAAGCATACAATACAATAAAATATAAAATAAAGAACTTTAAAACAGTATATAAAAATAAAAATGACTCAATTAAATATAAATGATTGTTAAGCAAGTGGTTCAGTAGGTAGTGCTGTCGCCTCACAGCAAGAAGGTCACTGGTTCGACCCTCGGTGTTTCTGTGTAGAGTTTGCATGTTCTCCCTGCGTTTGCATGGGTTTCCTCCAGGTGCTCCGATTTCCCCCACAATTCCAAAGACATGCGGTACAAGTGAATTGGGTAGGCTAAATTGTCCGTCGAGAATGATTGTGAGTAAGTGAGTTTGAATGCATGTTTCCCAGAGATGGGTTGCAGCTGGAAGGGCATCCGCTGCGTAAACCGTATGCTGGATAAGTTAGCGGTTCATTCCGCTGTGGCGACCCATGATTAAAGGGACTAAGCCGAAAAGAAAATGAATGAATGAATGTTAAGCAGCACATTTGCATAGTATAATTGAATATTTAATACAAAGATTTTATTTTTGAAATACATGTACCTTTAAGTACATTATTTACATTACATATGTAAAAAGACATTAATCTGCTAAAAATGCCAAATTAATACTTTTATAAAGTTTATCATTTATTTTATTAAAACTTTATGAGACATGAGAATTGAAGTGAAATATGCTGAATTTGATGAAAATTATCTTCATATTAGTGTTATTGGTTTATCATGATAAACTTTTTATTAAAGTTTTATTAACACTTTATGATACATTATGAGAATTAAAGTAAAATATGGTTATGAATTTAATGAAAATTATTATCATATTAGTGTTATTGGTAAACTATTGGTATTGATAAACTATTACAGTTTTGTTTATACATTCATTCATTCATTTTCTTGTCGGCTTAGACCCTTTATTAATGTGGGGTCGCCACAGCGGAATGAACCGCCAACTTATCCAGCACATTTTTTATGCTGCGGATGCCCTTCCAGCCGCAACACATCTCTGGGAAACATTCACACACACATTCTCATACACTACAGACAATTTAGCCAACCCAATACACCTGCACCGCATGTCTTTGGACTGTGGGGGAAACCGGAGCACCCAGAGAAAACCCTTGCGAACGCAGGGAGAACATGCAAACTGAGCCGAGGATCGAACCAGCGACCTTCTTGCTGTGAGGCGACAGCACAACCTACTGCGCCACTATGTCACCTTGTTAATAATTTTATTGTTTGATATTATGAGAATTAAAGTGAAATATGATTATAAATTTCATTAAAATTATCTTCATATTAGTCTTATTGGTGTATCATGATAAACTATTACACTTTTATTAATACTTTATGAGATATTATGAGAATTGAAGTGAAATTTGATTATGAATTTGATGAAAATAATCATCATTAATTTTATTAGTATATCATAAACTACTGAAGTTTTATTAAATCTTTATGAGATATTATGAGAATTGAAGTGAAATATGACTATGAATTTCATCAAAATTATATTTATATTAGTTTTATCAGTGTATGATAGAGTATTACAGTTTTATTAATTCTTTATGAGATTATTGATTAATTCTTTATGAGCATTGAAGTGAAATATGGTTATGAATTTGATTAAAATGATCTTTATATTAGTGTTATTAACGTATCATGATAAACTACTGATGTTTTATTAATAGTTTATGAGATATGAGAATTGAAGTGAAATATGGTTATGAATTTCATCAAAGTTATATTTATATTAGTTTTATTAGTGTATCGTGATACACTTTTACAGTTTTATTAATACTTTATGAGCTATTATGAGAATTGAAGTAAAATATGGTTATGAATTTGATTAAATGATCTTTTTATTAGTGTAATTAACGTATCATGATAAACTACTGAAGTTTTATTAATAGTTTATGAGCTATTAAGAGAATTGAAGTGAAATATGGTTATGAATTTGATTAAAATGATCTTTATATTAGTGTTATTAACGTATCATGATAAACTTTTACAGTTTTATTAATACTTTATGAGCTATTATATGAGAATTGAAGTAAAATATGGTTATAAATTTCATCAAAATTATATTTATATTAGTTTCATTAGTGTATCATGATAAACTTTTACAATTTTATTAATACTTTATGAGATACTATGAGAATTTAAGCGAAATATGATTATGAATTTGATGAAATAATCATAATTATCTATTAATTTTGAGCTAAAATATGACCCTGAATCTCCTCCAAACATGCCATTTCTTCATTCTTATGATGAAATCCATTCAGTCTATTAACTCAAGTGAAAAGAAGAAAACATTATTATCTGAAAAAAACCCTCAACCCCATCTGCCTGAGCGTATTCTTGAAAACCCATTCAATTCAGCCTCTCAAACGGCTCGAAAAGCTTTCCAGTTTTTCAGTCTTTGTGAGGAAAAAAAGCCTTTGAGATTATAAATATCTGTAGCCAATCTAAATGACCAGCACATCAGACGAAAACAAGCTCACTCAAACACATTAAATCTCAGAATCGTCCTTGTGAAAAAGTTGTTTTACCTTTACAAAGATCCTGAGCCACGACAGGTGACAGTAAAATAATAGTCAGAAGAAATCCAGTTATCATCTCTCCGCTTGGCATCTGAACTTTAACACGCATGCAGCTGAATTCAGCGCTCAGAGATTATGAACTGGTTAAAGCGTGAGATATAAAGGGCCGGACGGAGCCGCTTAATGGTTAAGCAGCGACTAGACCGGCCTCCGGAGCCAGAACAAACAGCAGATGTAAGCAAAACGTGCTGGAGACTGAGAATGCAGTGTACTGTATTACTGTAGTAAAGGACACTGCAAAAATATTCATTTGAGTTACTCATTTTTTAAAGTTAAGCGGTTGCAAAAAGAATATATGGACTGAATTTAAAGAAAAAGTTGAACATTACTAAATTTAATGGGTTTGTTTACATTGATTCATTAGTTTTCTTTAGCTTAGTCGCTTATTTATTTAGAGTTGCTACAGCGAACTGAACCACCAACTATTTTAGCATAGGTTTCACGCAGTGGATGCCCTTTCAGCCACAACTTAGTACTGGGAAATACCCATACACTATGGCTAAATTAAGTTGATCCAATTCACTTTTAGTTACACTCACCGGCCACTTTATTAGGTACACCTTACTAGTACCGGGTTGGACCCCCTTTTGCCTTCAGAACTGCCTTAATCCTTCATGGTATAGGTTCAACAAGGTATGGGAAACATTCCTTAGAGGTTTTGCGCCATATTGACATTATAGCATCGCACAGTTGCTGCAGATTTGTCGGCTGCACATCCATGATGCGAATCTCCCTTTCCAACATATCCCAAAGGTGCTCTATTGGGTTGAGCTCTGGTGACTGTGGAGGCCATTTGAGTACAGTGAACTCATTGTCATGTTCAAGAAACCAGTCTGAGATGATTCACGCTTTATGACATGGCGAGGTATCCTGCTGGAAGTAGCCATTAGAAGATGGATATACTGTGCTCATAAAGGGATGGACATGGTCAGCAACAATACTCAGGTAGGCTGTGGCTTTGACACAAGGCTCAATTGGTACAAATGGACCCAAAGTGTGCCAAGAAAATGTCCCCAACACCATTACACCACCAACACCAGCCTAAACCATTGATACAAGGCAGGATGGATCCATGCTTTCATGTTGTTGACACCAAATTCTGACACTACCATCAGAATGTTGCCGCAGAAATGGACACTCAACAGACCAGGCAACGTTTTTCCAGACTTCTATTGTCCAATTTTCGGGAGCCATTGTGAATTGTTGCATCAGTTTCCTGTTCTTAGCTGACATGAGTGTAGTCTTCTGCTGCTGTAGCTCATCTGCCTCAAGGTTGGACGTGTTGTATATTCAGAGAAGCTCTTCTGCATACCTCGGCTGTAACCAGTGGGTATTTGAGTTACTGTTGCCTTTCTATCAACTGGAACCAGTCTGGCCATTCTCCTCTGACCTCTGGCATCGAACTGCTCGGCTTGAACTGCAGCAGATCGTCTTGACCATGTCTACAATTGAGTTGCTGCTATGTGATTAGCTAATTAGAAATTTGCCTTAATGAGCAGTTATACAGGTGTATCTAATAAAGTGGCCAGTGAGTTTATAATACAATCATAATTTTTAAAGGATGTTTTTTTTTTTCTAAACGAGTCTTTAACAACAAACTTAGATTTAATCACATTAATATATAAATAACCTGACAATAAAAATATGTATCAATATTCTGACGGCTTTTATAGAGGGATTTGATCAAAATTTGTCTTAATAAATAATAATAATAAAAAATATATATATATATATATATATATATATATATATATATATATATATATATATATATATATATTCTGACTGTTTGAAATAAATCCTCTCTGTAAAAACTTGGCTGAAATATGAAAGAAATAATAATCATTTTTAACTTGACTACATCCAAGTTTCAGATTTTCGTGCTAGTAATGTATGCAAATGAATGCATGTTTAATTAATAGTGCTTATTTTGCATATCTAAACATGTTAGACATGTTAGAAAGCTTAATAGAAAATATGTTAGCAATTCTTAATGTAATCAATCAACTGGGGAAGTACGGTGATAAATATTAGTTGTTTTTTTAACCATCCCCACCTGCAGTGTCTTACGTTGAACAGCAGAAGAAAAAAGGCATTGAGATTTGTGTTGATTTGGCTCGGCGTACAGCTGTAAACAGCCTGCGCTCGCAGTGTTTACATACTGAGATGAGCAGACAGGTATTATTACAGAAGAAAAACAGCGAGAGGATGAAAACAACGCAGGTCAGCGCAAACACATCTGTTGTTATGATGAAGAGAAATCGTGCACATTTACATTCATAGACCTGAGCGTAAACAGGAGAGCTGTTTATGAAACTCCTACTCTAGTTCACTTCATTATTTCACAGCAGAAACTATCAAAGGCAGTCGAGCAGCAGATCTCCTGCGTTCATAGATGATGCTTTCTAGACTGTTTGTGGATTTATAAAGCAGATTTTTTCCTCTGATTTCTGTTCATGATGCTGATTGGTCAGTAGAGGTTATTCATTTACGATTTAACGTCCTCTTTATTGAACAACTTTTACATTTATTTATTAAGCAGACGTGCATGCAAAGTGACTTACAATCTAAGGGGTACCTTGATGCAACCCAGTCTCATTCTGGACATGTAGCTCCAACGTCCCGGGAGGTATGTATTTGTGCAGTTTTTGTTTTCGCTAATCTGTAAGAGGCCGCTGTGCGCGCTTTTTCGCATTTCGAACGCTTTTCGCGAGCGCGCCCCGTTCATGCCCGCGCTGTTCTGGTGTAATAAGCCACCGGAGGCCGCTGTTGAGCGACTGTCTGTCCGACTGACTGACTGAATACACGACTGATTGATTGATTAGGTGGCCGGCCAATCGGCCGACCCAGCCACCCTCCACCTCCTCCTTCTTCCCTAAACCCAAGGGACGATTTGCAAAAGTTGTCCAGAAAAAGAAAAGCCCTCGTCCGATTTTGACCGCGTTTTCGGATTTTGCCGCAGTCTCGCCCCGTTATGAACTCGTTCGCTTTATTTTTTGGATTCTGTTTGTGTGTCTTACCTGATTTCTGGAACCGCTCTTCCCCGGACTCGAACCTGGTCGTTGCCGCAGTCGGCTCCTCCGCTCCGCCAACGTAACGTGACGAGCTAACCGGACAAACTGGTTGTGATGGGAAAGCTCTCGACGCGGAGGTGAGCTGTCAGCCGCCGAGCGCAAAGAGGAGCGGCGTCACATTGCCCCGTAGCGTTCGCTTACAAAACTAAATGCAGCCATACGTACCTCCGGCCACGTAAATCGGCGGTCTCCAAGTACGTCAGCGGGGCTATGTTTTCAGAATGAGCCTAGGTTGCCTTGATGTCAAAATGACATTGTTACGGCCCAAACTCAAAACTGGCTCGAATAATAATAACAATCAAGTCAACATGTCATAAAAGGATGTAGGGTAGCACGATAGCTTAATGGTTAGCACTGTCGCCTCACAGCAAGAGGGTCACTGGTTTGAGTCCCGGCTGTGCCAATTGGCATTTCTGTGTGGAGTTTGCATGTTCTCCCCGTGTTGGAGTGAGTAACCTCCGGGTGCTCCGGTTACTCCTACAGTTCAAACACATGCGCTATAGGGGAATTGGGTAAACAAACTTGACCGTAGTGTATGAGTGTGTGTGAATGTGAGAGTGTATGGGTGTTTCCCAGTACTGGGTTGCGGCTGGGGAGGTATCTGCTGTGTTACACATATGCTGGAATAGCTGGAGGTTCATTCCACTGTGGCGCCTCCTGATAAATAAGTAAATAAATGAATAAAATGATTTGGGCGTGTATTATGCAAATGACTAAACTTATGCATGTGAACAGTCATTTAAAACTTGCCAAATTCACTAATGAAAGAACGAGTTTAACAACAAACTTAACGTGTTGTGAAATTGCCGGAAAGTTTTGATTAGAAGTTCAAATGCGCGTACAGACGTTTTCACGAATTAATCATGGTTCATCAAAACTTAATCACTAAAATGTTTTCTAAATATTCAAAAAAAATTCTGGAACCTTGTGTAAAGCCCTTATATGGAGCTGATTTGGGCGTGCATTATGCAAATAATTTACATTGTGCAAGCAGACATTCATCTAGAACTTGCCAAATTCACTATCGAAAGAACAAGTTAAAAACAAGCATGTGTTGCAAACTAGGCTAAAAAATCTTTTATGTGAAGTTTAAATGTTCGTACAGACATTTTCACACATGATTCGTCAAAACTTAATTACTAAAATGTATTCTAAATATACAAAAAAAATTCAGGAACTCTGTGGAGCCTCTTATATTTAGCTGATTTGGGCATTTATTATGCAAATGACTCACGAAATTCACCAAGGAAAGAACTTGTTTAAAAATATACTCACATGTTGCAAATTAGTCAAATGTTTTTAATGAGAAGTTGAAATGCACATGCGGACATTATCACACATAAATTATTACAAAAATGTATCATTATTATTTAAATGTATCAAACTAAATCAAGAACCTTGTGGAAAGCCCATATATGGAGCTAGTTTGGGCGTGTATTATGCAAATGACTTACATAGTGCTTGCTGTAGCTCATTCAAAAATCGTCATATTTCACTAATACGTTTAAGACAGCCTGATATCATGAGGAAATGTAAGTATTTTACGTTTTAACAGTTTATTGGCTAATTCGTGTGAATTCAGTTGTATGGAAATTTACGATTTTAAAAAGGAGGCGTAGTACCCAACCCCACCCTTAAACCCAACCGTCATTGGGGGAAAAGCAAATCATATTGAATTGTATGAATTAGCGTATGGATTTATAAAAATTTGCCACTAAATAAGAAAATTACAAATTGCTGTGAGATAGCATTGGTTTAAGAAATCTAAAATCTTTTTTTAGAAGTTCAAATGTGCGTACAGACGTTTTTACGAATAAATCATGATTCATAAAAACTTAATTACTAAAATGTTTTCTAAAAATACAAAAAAATAATTCAGGAACTTTGTGGGAAGCTCTTATATTTAGCTGATTTGGGCATTTATTATGCAAATAATTCGCCAAATTCCCTAACGAAAGAACTTGTTTAAAAATATACTCACACGTTGCGAATTAGTCGGATGTTTTTATGAGGTTCAAATGCTCATACGGACATTATCACACATAAATTAT